TCAAAATATTCAAATAGAGGGAAGTTGAGAGGGTATCTATTAATGAAACGGAATGCGAACTGGGCTGCCATATCTTGAGCGGTCGCATATTCCTCCCTGTATCATAGAGGGTTATTGACTCAATGGTACATATATTTCTTCCTCTGACATGAAGACGGGTAATACTGACCTCTCAAGATCATATCTTCTCAGTAGTATGTCATCTAGTTCGTGCAGACTACTACTTCCGATGCTGCCTACTGCACCGAGGTCCAAGCTCACCCGGCCTAAGCAGTTTAGGACGCCGCGAATCTCCGACAATACTTGAACGTAGCTACGTCCAAGGTATCCAATAAGCTGCATGACTTCCTATAGGCATGTTAGCAATCATGGGATAGCTCTCCTCTCCTGCATCCTTGGGGGTCTGTACGTGAAGGAGTGTCCTTCCACATTCGTCCTTGTCCGTAAGGGCTGCGCTCCCTTCTGCGGCGAGACAAAGCAGCCTCTGGGGCAGGAAGCGGAGTTGGATTCTAACAGATTCTATATCCCAATGGAAGTGGAAAAATCTGTCGACTTTTTTTTCATAAATACTGGAGCTGCACTCATCACGGCAGCCATTTTGTAATGGTCCGTAGCATCTTCGCGCACACAACGAGGGAACGTCATCGAACAACTTAAAGAGAGGCGAGTATTCTCTCTTAACAGTCGCAAAAGCTCTAATGGAGTGAGATAGGGAGAAGCCACCTCCCTGAAATGACGCTCCAAACATGAATTCCACAGTCTTCTCAAGTACGGGTATCAGTTGAACTGAGACAGTGTATCGCGAAGATTGTTCAGCCACTTTGGTGAATGGACAGCTCGGGTAGTGAGGTACCAGCTCTTCGTAATTGAGGCCAAGAAATCCGTATTTCCGAAACCTGCGGCGCCGGGATAGCCTACAGCTGCAGTCTACTGGCTTGCTGTGGAAGGTACTTGTCAAATCAACGGACCGAGCGGCGTTGTATATTGAAGACACTCCATTGTCACAGCACTTGTTCAGCGCGCTTGGGTGCTTAGCGAGGGCCTCGCACACTTCGCGGACAAGATACTCCCTTCCCAGCGGTGAGAGCTCAGCAGCAGTGGTGACATGATCTGGCTGAAGCGCATCTGTCCTCCCCAGGGCAAGTGTTACGACAGCATCTCTCAGCTCTGTTATGCTGGTCTTCGTCGCGACTTGACTCTCTATCAAAACCTTCGTTACAAGCGTGCGAGTCTCCTCATGGGCTACATCTCCATCAATACGGAGTTGTTTCATGTCTTCTCTGAGTAGCTCAGTACTCTTCGTTATGTCGGCGATCCGTACACTTTGGTCCGATTGCATTTCGATAGTAGCAACTTGTAGTTGGCGTGTAAGATCGGTGTTGATGCGCTGGATTTTTTCAAGCTTCTTCTCGAGCTCCTGCTCAAGCTTGAGCGATACCATCGCGCGCCATGCCCTTCGTACCGAGCCAAGGTTGGCTTGGACTTTTGGCTCGGATATATGTCGCAGCTTTTGGTAGACGCACTCTATTGTAGAATGGGCGTCAGCGACAAGGACTCGGAGAGCTTCTACTTGGGAAGCCTGGAGCTGAGTGACCATGGTTGAGGCTGGGTCCTGTAGAGCACCGTGCAATGCCTCAATCCGCTGTAAGGCTTTCTCTACATCGGTAAGAAGTATTTTTAGTCTATTTGGGACGTTCCGCAGGTCTTTAGCAAGTCTGATGATGCCAATGAGACCTTTTGCTCCGAACTCTGCGAGCTGTACAGCTGCAGCGCCGGCTCCTAAAACGGTGACGGGATCCATGGTACAGGAACAAATGGCGATTTTGTTGGAGGGATCGGGCCAAGCTCTCTTGTACAGGCGCATCGGTCTTATAAAGGCTTGGTAGGCTTCTCTGCCCAATGTGCGAATTGCTTGGGCATTGAGGGGCTGACAGCATGCATCGCCTCACATGACGTCTATTGTCTAAGATGCATGACTGCAAGTCGCCGAAAAATGCAGTCCAACTATTTTATTTTTGATGATGATGCTCACGTAAAAAGTCCGTGTCACTGATGGAATGAGCCCCGTAGCGATAATTTAAGGTTAATTGGAAGCTTATCTGTCGGGAAACAAAGAGAAGCTATATAGAAGCGAAAGAGTAGTTTGGAAGAGGTTCTATATCCTGAGCGCGTAGTCCTCTTGTTTAGTTTCCGGTTCCTAGACCTGTTCTACACAATACAGTTCGCCCATCTTTATAGACCGGCGCCAATCCTTTAAGCGTTATAGTAGCACTTAATGCTGAGGGCGTCCTGGTGGAAGGCAGTACAGGCGTACTTTTCTCCGCTCTGAACTCCAACGCTCTGTACTTCATGCTGGCAGTTGTTATCCGAGAACACGCTGCAAGTGGTGCCCTGTCTGGGACCAAATTGGTTCTGGGCCGTGAGTCCGAGGGCGCGAATGCCGGCGTTGATCTGAATGCAGTCGGTGGCTCCAGTCCAGCCCTCAGACTGGCCCACGGCGTTGCATTTGCAGTTTCTTGATAGAATGTTAACTCAACTTGAACGAACAATGATGGTCCATCACAAATACACGTACCCGCAGTTATGCCAATAGACATTTCCCTTGTTAAAGTCCGTGGCGGATACTGTCGCAACGGAGGCGACCAGAGCCATGGCGATTGTATTGAAGCTGACCATTTTTGCGGAGTGAATCAAGTCGGTTGAAAGTTGTGAATTTTTATGGTATCTTGAATGTGCCAGAGAAGCGAAGAATGTTCTGTAAGAGTCGATGTTGATGGGTATTTTCCTGGAGTATCACCCTCATATATATAGGCTTTTTCATCTTCGGAAACATTCAGCCAACTCACCTTAATTTCCGTTATCATACCCAAGAAAAGTAGACTCATACTCGGACCAACCGGCTTCGTCTTTGCCAGGTTAGGATGCCCATGTAATCCTCTGCCAGCACTGTTCCCGGTCTAGGTTAACACTTCGTCGTTATACATGACAGGATGGCTGTGGTCGCCAAGGTTTCCTGCAATACGCATCTGACAAGGACTTTGGACAAGTTTTCAGCATAAAGACTTAAGAAGTAACTTATCGTCACCGTGCTTGACTTGATCTCATTGGTGTCCATGACAGCGTTGTTCAGTCAGGAACCAGCGTACTATACTGGCAGTAATTTCGGACTCAAGCCCAAGCATACAACACACACAACACAGCACACATGGTAGAGCAGTCCTTTACAGTACAGACGGTCTCTATGGCCATAGCTGCCCATGTATTTGTCTTTACAATAATAGCATTGTAATACCAGCCCAATCACTACGCATCTCTCTGGCCTCCGCTGGGGATCCGAACCTCCGGGCCAAGAGCCGGGGATGCCCTGTCACTAGACACCTAGAGGAATGGCAGTATAGATTTTTTGTGCTTATTGCGCGTTGCTTACTCTTACGGTAAGCCAAGACACTTTACCAAAAGGTCCTATCCGTAATAGATTATTGTATTGATAGCATGCAGTTGAACGCCTCAATAGTATTGAGCATCAAGTACAAGACAACTATGCACCCGTGCTCGGAACTTGTTCCTGTACCTCGGCTTCTCAACAATTGACCAGGCGATTGATGAAACTGTTCATGGCATGAGACTTTTTTTTGTCTCGTTGAATGGAATTTTCCCAGCCACATGTTGATCTTTTTGTTAAAATTAACAACTTCGAACCTCATATAGCAAACCTCATTCAAGGCTGTAAGTATCATGTGAAATTATTCGCTCTAGTCTAGCATGAAGTTACAACATTCCTACTATTGCATGCCGTGTCTGACACAGGTGGGTTTTTAGACCGCTCTTCTTTTTCTGTTGTATCTCAGCGGTTCAGGTTCAACAGGGCCATCAAACTCACATCCGGTACGACCCAAAGCCTCGTTGGTAGATCACAGTGCCGCGGACGTGGATGGATCATTCGCATCGCCTCCAGTGGGAACAGTACCGCTCCCACGCTGGTCAATGCGGCAGCTTATCCAGGTTAGCCTTTTAGTCGATAAATCCTTGCATTATACACGCTAGTATGAAAAGAAGAACTTGAGCTGTCAGACTAGTTACGAGCTTCTCTAAGTGGAGTCATGAGTTGATGGATAAGACCGGAATCATGAATCGTGTGGTAATGACGAAATATATTCATGCAATCCATCCTTCAATTCAGTACCGAATAGGATCGTCTTTACATGACTCACTTGCAGTCAGTCCATGAACCAGTATACTGAGTACGAAGCTCATGAATTCAGTTGGAAGGATGAGAGGTTGCTAGGGACGTATCATCCTTAACGACAGTCTGCTAGAGACGGCATCCAGCTACCCAGCATGCCTTGAAGAAAGATATTGCCAACCGGCATTTTTCGGTCCAACTTGACGATAGTCTAAAAGAGTAAGGACTACTTTCACCTAGTAGGATGCAGCCCTCTGTAATGTTTCCATAAGAAATTGAATAGGCGTCGACTTGCTACCAACTTACCCTATAGTTTGGCCACCATCACTAGTTCCGATTGGGCTCACAGACACATTAAAATATCGATCAACAGAAACACGGAAAAGAATTAACTATATTTTCGTCACATTGAGTGAAAACTCACATTATATTTCAGTCCTTCTTGTCAGCCCCGTTTCACTCGTTATCATGTCCCTCTTCCTCTCGGTAAGCTCTTTTCACTTGACGAAACTCGTAAACACCAAAATCCTGACGTCCCGAAAAGCTAGCCAGTGAGCGAAGCAACAGGCATAACAGTAACACAACTGCGTCCCCCGTATTTCTGCTCAAGGATCCCAAGAGATGTGAGTTCTAGAGTAGAGTTGAACCTTTGAATTTGAGCCGCGGCAAGTGGGATTCAACATTGTATCGTCTTATCATGAATGGAGAGGACGCAATTGAGAGTGCGTTTTTGCCAGGTACAATTGCGACCAGAACAGCAGGAGTGGCAACAGCTCAAGAATTGAGATTGTGCTTGGCCCGACACGAAAAGGGTTAAGCAGGCATGGCCGAGTGGTCTATGGCGATGGTTTTAAGTCCTCTGTTTATCACCATTATCGAGAGATGCGTGGGTTCGAATCCCGCTGCCTGTAAACGATTTTTTTGTTTGTTCTCACACTTTGAGCTCCACTCGCTCAAGTCTTGGCCAATGACATTAAATCTCCCGGTAGTTTGGCAGTGATATTATTATTATTATATTCCTTAGTTTTAATACAATGAACTCCTTTTGTGCTTAAAAAAAAAAAGAGACATCAAGACTTCCTACGACTTGAGTGATACGTAAAATACTTATCTTCCTAATCGAAAATTTCCCTGTGATGAAACTGACCCAGATAGGATGACAAAGTGACTTCACAATTGCCAGTCGATATGGGCTTCCAAACTTGGTGTTTCTGTCGCATGCACCATGAACTTCACATAAAAAGATAGCAAACATTCTAAGGCCAGGGCAATATGAATTGTAAACATCTAGCAAAATATCACGACTTTTCGATACATCTTCGACCTTGCCATGGGCTGCGTCAAGTCGCTCTCGCAGCTGTTGCTCAGTACACCTCAGAGCGTTACCTCTGCCTTGATGCTCTCGTTCTGTTGCTGAAGTTCAGCGATCTTGGCCCCCTCTCCTCCTTTGCGTACTTGACGCCCTCCTCCACAAGCGATGGCGACTTTAAAACCACATCGGCCTTTGGCTTGCAATTGACGCCAAGTCGTTCACGCAGCTGCTTTTCGGTTCACTTCAGGAACATCAACCTCTGAATTGAAGTCCTGGTTCTGTTGCTGAAGCTTAGCACTCATGTCAACCCCAGCCTCTACTTGTGATATGGTAACGTGATAAATTTCGAAATGGATCAGGCGACAGCGCTGGTAGCGAACAACCCTGAGTGTGATGTAAGGTTAGTATTGTAATTCAAGGTGAGTGAAGCTGCAACATACACTTCTGTGATGGGAGGCGAGCATTTCCCCAAAACTCCGAGGCTGTTGCTTCTTCTTGGATACGTTGTGAGACCTTGGCTGAGACCATGGGGCCCAAAGGCAACAACCGAACCAAAAGTGGTACCAATTTATTGAGATTGGTGAGAAGCGCTGCCCACAGAGGCCACACCAACCCCAACGTATAGTGTTCCGACAATTCTTGCTCTAACAGCTACCAGCGTACTTCACAAGGTGTGTTGCTTTGGGTTAGAGTTACCTTTGCAAACTCAGTATCTGTCCACAAGAGGTCTGCCAGTAGAGGGCTGAGCAAATGTGGAGAGTATAACGGGATTCGGCGCGGTGCTCTGGCACGAGAGTCGTTCTGCGAAATAACGTTGGGAGCATTCTTACATTTGTCCAGTAGTTGCCTGAAGGTAGCGAAAGACTTGCCTAGCCTTCGAAGTTGAAAGAACATCATTGAGCGGGCCAAAGAGGCTAGAGAGATTACAAGCGCTTTGGCGAAGGGGATAAGAAATGCACACGCTTTGTACCAGAAGATCCCTGGTGATCAGGGGAAAATGTATTGCCTTCCCTGTGTTGAATATCGTCATCATATCTGGCTTGGGGTTGAGAGTGTTTGAGCCTAGTTCTTTTTGTCATACGCCTATCAGGAGGGGATCTAATTCCGACCGACGAGAAGTGGGACCCATGGAGGAGCACGTCCAGGGAGATTGTGGAGCAGTGGCCGGAGGAGCAGGCGGCAGCGGAGGGGCTGGACTCGGGGTCAGAGACGGCTCTCTCCTGGGCGGGGCCGGAGGTGTCGCTGTCTTTGGGATGGGTCAAGACAGGTGGAGGAAGACATGCTTGTTGGTCCACTAGAGGGGAAGGGTCAGGGGGATGCATATCCCACGTAGAGGCGAAGGGATTGCTGGATGACGGGTTATTCGACGCAGCGAATGAGTTAGTCGGAGTCGCGACCGGATTTTCCTGGCTATCAGGTTGTCGATGTGCCCTCAACCCCCCAATTGGGCGATTGACTTTGTCGGTCAGCAGGACTTGTTGACATCTCCCTGGGGTCCTGGGCATGGACCTCTCGGATTCTTGGTTCGTGCTGATACTCAATGGTGATTGACTTAAGGATGGAATAAAATCCAAGGCCACATCGTGCTGAGCACGAGTGGCACCCAAACTACTGGCTACAGGCATCGGTGTTTGGACCCGTTGGCCAAGTTCGGCTGTCGAGTTGAAGCGGGACATATTTCGGGCCTTATTATTCACTCCATTGTTCTCACGCAGAGGCCCGCTGTTGATTGTGGCGAGAGCTTCTTGACCTTGGGGTCCATCCCTAGGAACATGGGGTGGACTTCTGCTTCTGTCGTCAGCTCTCCTCTTGTTTCGGTTCCGGCTGTGTCGAGGAGAGTGTCGAGGAGAGTGGCGTGAAGAGCGCGACCTACTTCGGCTTCGTTCTCTTCTGGCGGTTTCGTGAACGGGCTGAATTTGGGGGCTGCAGCTTCGATCGTGCCCTTCATGGGAACCAGGATCCCGGGAGCTCTGTCGAGTAGAGCTGTCGTGATGGTGATGATAGTGATGGTGGTGGTGGTAGTGATGGTGGTGATGGTGGTATTCATAGTGGTGAATGCTGTTCCGGCTAGACATCTTGAAGCTTATGCCGTTGGCGTTGCTTGGGAGCTATTGTGAGACGGAGACACGAAATGAATATGAGAAAGAAGAGAGGAGGACAACAGGAAGATCATGACACAATAGGTTTGTAAGATGGTAGCGCCGACTCTTTGCAGCCGTCAATGCCCGCAGTAAAGTGACAAAAACAAACAAATTCTACCTAGGTATCGGTTACATGAAGTGGCTGCATCTTCATTATTATGGTACGCGGAAGGCGTGATCCAGCAACACACAACAGAAACCAGTTCCTCTTCGCAACTGCTATTCGCTCGCGTCGCCCCATATGTTCTGTAAGACAAACGTTCTCTCTATCCGCATCTTAGAGAACGACACTGACAATAATCGGTATGGCCTAGTAATTGACACTCGATATTTACCGCTCCATCAGCAGAATCCGACTCTCAGATCCTTCATCCAGCCACAATACTCCGACCGTTGAATCGTGTTCCCGTTTTCTCAATCGTCCAGCTTCATCCCAAAGGCCACGCTTTGACCCTCCAAGCTTATGCCCATTTAGGACTGCTTGGAATCACCCTCACCTTTGGACGAGGAAAAGGTTGACGAGGCCTGCACAACTTAGTTTCCATGTTTAGCAATGGTAAAAGCATTCCTACCTCTGCTCTGGCTCCGAGGCTCAGTACCATCGGGCACGAAGGAGGGCACGATTGACGAGATCCGCAGGCGTCATTGCCCGGTCGCCCTCACGGCTGCTTCGTTCTCTGCCGTCGTCTCCCCCAGGCATCCTTATGGGGAATCGCTCAATCATAATCTTCTGATCAGGATAATTTGCCTGGACCTGATTGAAGGCATGCATCACACCCGATTCCGAGTTAGTTCGAAACAAAAAGACACCGGGGATTTGAGGCTCAGGCGCCATGATATTGGTATGCAGCCCACTCCTCGGAGACGAGTTGTAGACATGCAGGTCCCGAATCTCGCGATCAGCGCCGACAGTGCCTTCTAGAGTCATTGAATGCACCATGGTGAGCGGGTGCTCGGTGCAGTGGTGCGTGCGACTCCCACGGTTCCCTCTGTCGGAATCATGGTGCTCTCGTGAGCTGGGACTGCGACTGAGACCTGGGGGCATCTGACCTTTGTTAGCAGGAGAAGCAGCAGCCTTTCCCTTGTTACCAGAGGCAGAGCCACCGCGATCTGCCTTGGCTTCCATTCCAGGCCTGGCTTGCTCCTTGGCTGGGAGGAGTTGCTGAGGCTTAGCCTGGCTAGACTTGATTGCATTGCCAGGCTTGGGGGTGGCGGCCTGCTTCTTGGTCGGTGGCGGCTTGGCAGTTTGGCTCTCCTTGGCCTTGTCGGCTACAACCTTGACCCGTAGCTGGGCAAACTTCTCCGACTTTGGCTCGGATGGATCAGCTGGTGGTCGATTCGGCCATGGCCAGTCGGGGCCTGGTCCTCCCTTCTCGGCGAAGTGAACTATTTATTTTATGTTAGTTACTACATTTCGAATAAACTAAAGTCTTTTGTTTAATGGGCATGCTTACAGAAAAACCCCCAAGCAACACGGTCCACAGTGAACTCGAAGTGAGTAACAGGGACTGTTTTCCACCCAGCATCAACGAGCTGAGTGGCTGCCCTCGACTCGGAAGATCTCCAGAGAGCCTGAAAAGTATCACCCTCGCTCGGGTCATAGACCATCCAGTTGAAGAAGGACTTCATGTATGCTCTTCTCTGGGCTAAGGTTGGGTAATCGCCTACCCAAGGCAAATGGAACTTTTCGTCCTGGCGGTATCGATGGGAACGCCACTCACGATGAGAAGGCATTTTCTTTTTTTTTCCTTTTTCTTTCAGTAGTGTGTGCTTTTGGAGAAAAAGAAACGAAAAAAAAAAGACAAGTTGAGTGATGAATGAAGGGTGGAAGCGGGAGGAAATTGACAAATGACCCTCATATGGCTTGTTTGCCAACCTCCGGCGTGACAGTCGGCAGCCACTGGCAGCCACTGGCAGCAGAAATTTGAGTAACCAAACTCGTCTAACTTTGCTATTCACAACTTCAGAATAGAATAGATGATACCTTTTTGGCCGTAAGAAGGGGATAATAATAGTAAAAGAAAACGATATAAAATGACCCAGTAAAAGCGCGTAAACTACAACTTGACAAAACACGAGAAATCATGCTCTCCATCGCTAAATAATTATGCATAAGATCCCAAATGCTTGAAATACCTATTCTTATCAATTATTCCCTGATTACCTACCTGGGCACAGTAGCTAGGTATGTCCCCTACGCTGGGTGGCTCAGGGCAGTGTTCATTTCGATGTACTCGACGGGCTTATTACACTCTCCCCACCCCACAGCCTGCCGTGCTCTTAAGAGTGAATTACCACTCTCACGCTGACAAGCCTTGGCCGATTGAGAAGCTCCGCTCATTCAAGATGCCGAGAGCACGTCTATTTGAAGACGGGAAAGGGTACACAATGGATCTTGAAGTGACATGGACTTACGCGCTCGTTGCCGTGGTCCGTTTGCGAGACACCCTGATGGGCA